GGGGGGGGGGAGAGAGAATCCCAAGCAGGTTCCACAGTGTCAGCACGGAGCTTGACTCAGGGTTCGAATCCACGAACTTTGAGATCATGACCCGAGCCGAAATCAAGAGTCAGATAACCCACTCAGTCACCCAGGTGCCCTGAAAATTATTTCCCATTGAAAAAAAACCTTGGCTGGGGGCACCTGGCTGGCTCAGTTGAAAGACCATGTGGCTGTTGATCCAGGGGTTGTGAGTTCGAGCCCCATGGTGGGTGTAGAGATTACTTAAACACATTTTTTAAAAAAACTAAAACAAGAATAAAAATAAGGAGAACGTTGACATTACCTGTATCCAGGAGTTGCTTGAAATTAGGAGGTTTTCATGAAAATAATTTATCAAGATTGAAAATTTCTCATCATCATACTCAAAACGATTCTGGAAAACAACGGAGCAGATCACATTGCAGGAAGCACAGCCCAGAAGGAAAGTAGGATCACAGGGAGATGCTAAAACAATAAAAGTTAAAGGTTAGAGCACAATTTTCATATAAATCTTAAGTTGACTGTTTTAAACAATTAAGAAGGGTTAACTTCTGGGATTTTTTTTAAGTATAGGAATTCCCTGGACATGTGATCATCACTATAAACTCAACATGCCTAAAATTTATTGTGCTTCCCCAAACAAAGCTGTCTACTCCAGTCTATTTATTTCCCCCCAAGTGTTCTCCTTGGGGAACTCCCCAAGAGTTCCCCCAAGTGTTCCCCAAATAAGAGCCACAAGATAATTCACAAGAATTACTGGGCACAGTCTGGATAAGCATAGGTCGGGAGCATCCAAAATAATGGAACACTGTACTAGTCTGTTAATAATGTTCTTGATAAACATTTATAGATTAAACCTGTAAAAATATTTAATATATTACGTTGAAATTTTGCAAAACCATATGCGTAGTATAAGCCTCACATCTGTATCCCTCTTCTGCCAGGTTTCCCACCCGTTCTTTGTTGATAGACATCAAAAGTCCAAATGACAGTCATTGAAACTCTATTGCCACCTCCAGAAATTTATTCCAAGGAAGAAAGAAGTGCAAATACTTGTAAAAATGGCATGTTTAATATTAATAGCAGGAAAAAAAAAGGGGAAACAACTTGTCTGGACAATATATAACATTGGTTAAAAAACACAATGCCGGGCACCTGGGTGACTCAAATGGTTAAGCACCCGGCTCTTGGTTTTGGTTCAGGTCATGATCTCGAGCTTTTGTGGATTTGAGCCCCGCGTTGGGCTCTGCTGGAGGCATGGAGCCTGCTTGGGATTCTCTCTCCCTCTCTCTGCCCCTCCCTTACTTGCGCACTCTGTTTCTCTCAACATAAATAATAAACTTAAAAAAAATAATATTGAAAAAAACCCACCATGTAGAAAATAGTACTATAATGGGGCACCTGGGTGGCTCAGTTGGTTAAGTGTCCAACTTCAGCTCAGGTCATGATCTCTGGTTCATGAGTTTGAGCCCCATGTCGGGCTCTGGGCTGACAGCTCAGAGCCTGGAGCCTGCTTCAGATTCTGTGTCTCCTTCTCTCTCTGCCCCTTCCCTGTTTATACTCTCTCTCTCTCTCTCTCTCTCTCTCTCTCAAATATAAACATTACAAAATTTTTTAAAAAGAAAATAGTACTATTTCCTTAACAGTGTTCTTGAAAAATATTTAAATATTGAGGTTCAAAAACCATATATGTCTTAGGATCCTGATCTTATTCCTTCTCTGCCACGACTCCTGTCTACCCCTTCGTCTTCCACCTCCTCTCCCAGTCTGGCACGTGCATACACAAATACACACACTGAGCCAATTTGTGCTACCGAGGCTCACTCCATTCACATCCATAATCCTCCAGGTGAGCTATATAGCAGCCCTAAGCACTGAGAAGGATTTGGCATGAATCCTAGTGCTGAACCACTTGTGCTTTTTTTTCTCCTGATTTTACTAAGATATGACTGACAGCACTGTGTAAGTTTAAGGGACACAGCATAATGACTTGACATATATATACTGTGAAATGTTTGCAATGTTCTCAAGAAGTTACTGGAGAAATTACTTCATTTTTCAAGTTATTGTGGCCAAAACTACTAGCTCATTATCCAAATCCTCGTTCTCCTTGCTTTTCTGTGCACACAGAGAACCACATGTCACACTGCGTCTTAGAGCTGGTATGGTCCTGAGACTGAGTTAAAGCCCATGGAATGTCTGCCATTGTCATACCCAGCCTACTGAAAACCTTATTTGCTCTTTTCTTTGTTCTTTGCTCCTTCTGCTACCCTGCAGAGAGATGAATCCTGGGTGATACTAGATGCCATGTGGTGAAGATATCAAGGCTCCTGTCAACCTGGTGCCTGAAAAGGCTATTGTGCCAACCCCTTCACTTCACTACTGTCATGTGAGCAAAAAGTAAACTTCTATGGTGCTTGAGCCATCAGATTTCTCTGTAGTCTATTTGAAAGAGCATATAGTCCTCCCAAACTATTACTGTTAAATACGTAAAGAAATACACACCATTGGTTTTTTTTAATGCTTCCACCAGATACAAGGCCTCCTCTTGAATTCTGTCTTCAATACTCTTCTTCCCCATGCCCATATTCCGCAAAACCATGAGGGAGAAACGCCGGACTTGCTTCCACTGCTCTCTGTTGCTGAAAATAATTCCTATCAGAAAAAAAAAAAAAAAGAGAGGGATGCCTGGGTAGTTTAGTAGGTTAAGGGTCCAACTCTTAATCTCAGCTCAGGTCTTGATCTCAAAGTCATGAGTTCAAGCCCTGCGTTGAAAAAAAAAAAAAAA